GTTAAATCACTTAAATTTCTGAATTTAAATATGCACTTATTTCTATTGGATTTTCATGTTCATAAATAATACATATCCTTTAGTTTCTCTCTTTTCAAAAGTTGTAGTTCTTTTTTTCTTATTTCCTTCTGTAGTTTGTTCTGAAACAATGGTAAATTATAGAAACAATGGTGGTTATGCTATTTATTGTCAAGTTATGATAAGGCTGCCTTATATTTTAATGCTATCTGAATAGTTGGTTTTTGCTTATTGATTAGTATTCATTCCTCACTAATAACTAGGCTTTTCTGATTTTATTGAGGTTTATGAGGAATGGAAGATGCACTTTATTTTAAACCATTTATTAAGATCTCTCTATGAACTTATCAGCATAGCAAATTATATATCTTAATAATATATCACTGCTTTGATTGAAAAGGTCAACTTGATTATTCAATTTTCTTTTATTATACTCTTAAATTAAGAGCTTCATTTTAGGGATTCCTGCTCATTTGAAATAAGTAATCTTAATCCATTATTTACCCATTAATTTGGAATTGCCTTTGTCATAATTCAATATCTGAGTTACACACAAAAGTTTCAGAGAACTAGTTGAAAGTTTTCTATATTTATCCTTCTCTGTAAAACCAAATCAACCATAAAACCTGGAGCACAAAGAATGGTTGAGCTAATTATTTTAGAATAATATTCATGTTCTTTTTGTACATTTTTATTGTAAAAATGCTGTACAGAGGGGTTACAGTTACATAAGCAAGGTACTGAGTACATTTACTATTGAGAAAGCTGTAGTGTCATTCAAATTTCTACCATGTTTTGATTATTATCTGTGACACTTTGGTGGTTATAACCAAATGTTTTCTTTTAAGGAGAGTTCATTTGTTGACTAAGTCTGAAAATGGAAAATATTCAGAAAAGTTACTTTTCAGGTTTTGTTTTGTTTTAGATTGGACTCTTTTCCTTCTTTCCTTCCTTCCTTCCTTTGTTTTGCCTTTCTTTTTTATTTTAGACAGTTGTTCTATTTGAGTTCCTTTATTCCTGTCCAGATGATAGCAAGATTTCTACATTATTCTTGTTTTCATTAATTTGTTTAATGTTTTCAGTGTGTGTGCCATATTGTCCCTTAATGTTTACCTTGCCATGCAATTTGGTTTCAGATGTGTCTCTTTTATAATTAACATCATATCATATATTTTTATAGTCTTTTTGAAGTAAAGGAACCTACAAAAATATAGCTAGTGAGAGTGTTAGAACTTAATTATCACAAACTGAATTCATCTCTGCAGTCATCATCCAGGTCTGAAAAAAGAACATTACTACAATCCCAGAAGCACTTCTGTGTTTCCTCTTCTTCCTCAGCAGTAGTCATGCATACTGTCACAATGGCCTACGATTCTAGTTCTGATTTAGAATCCTGAATAGAATTAAGTGTGTAGTATTTCTTATACATGTTTGTTTATGCATGTTGCTATAATTTGTTACACACACACCCAGGGTACTACATGACAGGCCAATTTTCTAGATATCAACATAAAATAGCAATGTTATTATTTTTATATAATAATAGTAATGTTTAACTTTGAAATATGTCTCAGTTGTTTTATGTTTCTATTTTGTTTGAAACATTCACTGTTACTTGAAAAAAAATTCTAAAGAAACTATAAGAATTCGGGCTGGGAAGATGGTTCAGTGGTAGAGCGCTTGCCTTGCATGCCTGAGGCCCTGGGTTTGATTCCTCAGCACCACATAAGCAAAAAGAAAAAAGCCGGAAGTGGCGCTGTGGCTCAAGTGGTAGAGCGCTACCCTTGAGCTGAAGAGCTGAGGGACAGCGCCCAGGACCAGAGTTCAGGCTCCACGACTGGACCCCCCCCCCAAAAAAAGAAACTATAAGAATTGAAAATGAGTGAATTAAGATTCTAATAAGATGATTTTAAGTAAATGCAAACAGAATGAGAAGAAATATGTGAAAAGCCATCTTGGAAAAATGAAAAAAAAAATTCTGGGAAATGAATATATACTAAACTATTTAGAAAAGTTGACCTCTATGTGTTAAATTTGTTTGCTAGAAATTGTGGTAATCGTAGTGGGAAAGGGGAAAGTTTGAATGAATATTTCCAAACACATTCAGATATAAGAAATTATACCTAATGATTGATATTTAAATAGGGTAATTACAATGTACAACATACTCTATATTTCATAATAACTAGAAGAGATGAGTTTGAAGGATCTCAACAAAGAAACAATATTAAAGGAAATAGAGATTTGATTATTAAACATCTGATTTGATTATTAAACATTATATTTATATTCTTAGAATTAACTTATTCTAGTCTGTAATAAATACAAATAGCATTTGCTAAACAAAATAAAATAAACTAACATTAAGAATTAAAGTGAGAAGGGGAAAAACAAATCATTTAAATAGGGATACAGGTGGACCCATTGCAACAATAAGATGTACAAGTCGTTATGTAGAAAAGGAACTTTACAACTTTGGTGGGGGGCGGGGAGAATTGAGTGGGGGGGTGGGGGGGATGGGAAGGGGAAACAAAGGAGGAGGCTACAATGCTTGATAAGAAATGTACTCATTATCTTGCCCATGTAATTGTAACCCCTCTGACAGTATTTTCACAATAAAAAAGAAAAAAAAGAATTAAAGTGATAAAAATTTATAGATCCAGTAATAAAAATGAAAACTGGAAATGGGTTTTTAGAATGGTTATCTGTTTTTGTTTGTTTGTTTTTAGTTTTTGTCGGTTGTGGCGCATGAACTATGTTCCTGGGCACTGTCCTTAAGCTCTTCAGCTCAAGGTGATTACTCTACCATTTGAGCCACAGTGCAACTTCTTGGTTATCATTCTTGAAGCCTAAAGGAAAAGGACTTAATTGACTGATCCGAAAATATATTGCAGTTACTCTAAGGTTTTTTTAATATCTTGGGTTTAAAATCTGAGCATCTGGGTCATGAAAGTGTAATTATGTATCGTATCATGTATATTGCTTTAAGAAATGGCATGCTTGCTTCCTGTAGTTAGACATATCAGGATCAAGATATCAGGATTTTTAAAAAGGTAAATACAAAAGTTAATAAAGACTATTTTATTGAGAACTTCTATATCCTGGAGACTGTTAGATACTTTATATGGATTTTCTTAGTCTGTAGCCCAGTAAATTAAATACTATATTTATCTATTTTACAGATGAGTAATGGGTTGAGAAAATTTGATTCAAAGATATGCTAAGTCATATACACCTGCTGCCTGGGATTTGGCATAAAGCATCTACTCTCATCATTACTTTTAAAGATAAATCATTTTGCCTGAGAGGAACTCTTTCAAACACTCTTTACTATTTTGTTAACAGGAACTATTCTCACAAGAGGAAGAAAAAACCTGGATATTAAAGGGAAGGCAAAAGGCAATCTCAAACAGTCCTTTATTTTTTTTTTTTTTGACAAACTCATCTATGTAAGACTCTTGAGACATTCTATAACTTTGGGAATCAACAAAGAGGTTACCAGAAAGAATCTGGGAACTGCCAGGAAACATTTATTCAAGTGTCTGTTATTCATTGAATTGGGCTTAAAAGGCTCTAACATCCCCATAAAGCAACTGCTTTTGTAAAGTTTTGTGCCACAGTACAACATGGAGTCTTTGGCATATCATTATAAACATTTTGTGCCTTTAGACAGCTCTAAACAAGTGGCCACAAAGAATTCATTAACACATGAATATGCAGGTGGAAACCTAAATCAACACAATAACCAACCTGTGGAGGAAGTGCAATCCCAAAGCAATAACAATATAGCACCTCCAGTAAACTCTAACAAGAAGATCCAAAGCTGCCCAGTATTGCCTTCCCCCAAATCTCGATTATCAGTGTCCCAAGATGTCTATAACAGGATTATTCAACCACAATCATCCCACTCCAAATGTTCAGACAAACCTTCACTGAATCTTCACTGGAAAACTTCATTGTGCCCCTCACGGAAAGCCCTGAACTTACCTTTTTCTTATTTCAAATCTCCGGCAGCATCTTCATCTAACCTTAATAAGACACCATTATCATTGGAACCCAACCAGAGGGTCCTGAGGTCAAGATTACTCCTCCTGAAACCTGATAATTCATCTTCAATTCCAGATGTTTGGGTATCACCTTCATTGAAGTCCAGTGAAAAAGTCTCAAGTTCCTTATCCCCCCTCCAACATGAAGAAACGACTTCCCTAAATATTATCTGGACATCACCCTCTTTGAGAACCAACCAAAAAGCCTGTAGCTCAACAACACTTCAAACTAAATCTCCAAAAACAACGTCATTGGATTGCCTTTGGAAATCTTTACTGGAGCGAAATCAAAAGTCTTTGCAGTCACCATTACTCAAGAAAAAACTACAAGCAAATAAATGCGTTCAGACATCACCTTCTCTGGAGTTTAATTACATGGGAATGAGCTCCCCATTACCTGAACCCAGACTTCAGAGATTACCTACAGTAAACTCTAACACCCATGTTATGACTTTACCACTGTCTCACTTAACATTAAAGAAATCATCTTTATCAGATTCTATTCACCAGTCTTCGAGTTTTCCACTGTTTGAGTCAAAGTCTCAAACCATTAGGTTTGATGGTAATTTTAAGGCCCTGAAATCACCAACTTATCACTCCAAGTTGAATACCACTTCACCAAATGACAAATACAGGCCTACACATTTATGGCCATTCCATCCCACACTAAATACATCTGGCCAATCATTATCAAGCATCAAACACTGCATCAGGAGCACAGCTTCTACCTTGGGTTCCAAACTCCAAAGTAAAAGCAGCTTTGATTTTAGGTCAAAGACAAAATTAAATAAAGAATTTCCCTGGACTTTTAGTTATATATATCCCTGCGTTGTGAAAGGTGGAACTCTGCCCGATGATGTTGTAAACAAAATTATCAATTCTATCTCCAAGACGAGAATCCAGAGAGATATTTGTAGACAGATTCTCTTTCGAAGGATGAGGGGAAGGCCAAATCCCCATCCAGGTCCACGCCTTTCAACAGTGTATACAGTTTGTTTAGCTTGTGCTTCCTGCATAAAATCTCATTGTAACCATCGAATAGGAAGGAAAGATCCTCGGTGTGCAAGGCTGTTTGTTATACCAACACCTGAGACGACTACTGAGGGGAAAGTAGTGGTAAAACTACTTCTTATTCTTTCTCTACCAGAGATTTCATCTTCTCTCCTATTTCCTATGAAGGACAATCAGCTTGACGATGCTCTGGATAACGACCTTGAAGGAATGGAGAAAATGCCGCAGGTGATCCGCACATCACAATCTGGTATCTGCCAGGAAAAGCTTTCTACCAAGAAGAAAGTTAGTGAACGGTCGCAGGCTACTGAATGGCTGCTTTATGTTAAAAGTACAAATGCTTTACATCTGCCATCCCAGTTCCCAACCCCTTCTTCCTCTTTCTCCTCCTTGTCAGTTTCTTCTGCCTCCTCTTCTTCCTCTTCTTCCTCCTCTTGTTCTGCTTTGCCTATCCCGCCCCCTCCTACTGAAAAAGCCTGTCACCAATCTCCCCCCCCAGATAGAGTATTCACAAAAGTACTAAGTTACCAACATCGACTGCCCCAGGGGGTCTCCTGGCTTGAGTTTATATGTAGTAAAGATTACCAACCACTTGAGGGAAAGCTGCAACAAAGCCAAGTACCATCTCTCCAGTCAAAGTCTGTGCAGAGCTACATCAGTATAAAAGGCACAAAGGGACCAAGCTTACTGTTCAAATTTTTCCAAAGAAAGTTCAAAATGAGAAATTCTGATTAAATGAACATCGTGTCTTTAAAAAAAAAAGCAATGACCTCCTAGTTTTTTGGGACTAGTGTTTGATTTCTTCTCATATTTATTAATATTCTGACACTGAATTTTAGTCATCTAAGAACTATCATGTTTAATTTTATGACTTGAGTAAAAGATCATAAATCTCTTAGAAGTTAAAACATGAATCTTACATATTTAAGAGAATGCCTGCATAGAATACCCGCTCTATAATTATTGTCCAGTAGTTGGACAGATACCAGAAGTATCTATCTGGCCCTGAACAATACTAGCTTATTGCCTATAGCCTACCACTGGTGGCTCACTCTTGTAATCCTAACTACTCAGGAGGTTGAGATATGAGGATCATGGTTTGAAGCCGGTCTGGGTAGGAAAGTCTATGGGACTCTCATTTCCAGTTAAACATCAAAGTCAGGAGCAGTGCTGTGATTCAAGTTGGATAGCACACTATCCTTGAACACAAAAGTTCAGGGCAGGGACCCAGCTCTAAGTTCAAGCTATAGGACTACCACAAAAAAATACAATGAAGACCCAAAAACATATTTTCTCAAGCCAATTTATTCCCACCTGTTTCCACATTTTTTAAAGAAAATTGAGGTTATATTCAACCAATATACGAAGGGGACGTTTTCAGTTATATATTTCTAGACAAATGTTACTATTAATATCACATGCTCTGATATCTAATAATCTATTCAATCTGAATTCACAAGTATTAAGAGAAAACTACTTCATGCTTATTGTGCCAACATTTCCTTTATGGGCTCTGAAGTCACCTAATAATTACCTGGATCTATAAAGCCACATTGGTTAATGAATTGTTTTTAAATGGGTTCATTCCACTGAGTCTGGTGGTAAAGGAAAGAAAGCTGCTTCCATGTATATGTCATAAATGATCATTGCTTTTTGCAAGGTCAAGTATAGGCATCTCTTAAACTAATGACTCTCAGTTCTAATTCTGTCTCAAATCATTTCAGTTCCCAGGATGTATATTAAACATTTCAGTTGAAACATTTCTAATTCAACATGACCAAGCCAGAATTAATTACTTTTTACCTGTATAATTTACATCTTGTATATTCTACTTCCCTCTGCCTTTCTGGTTACAGTTGGATATATTGTTATTCACCATAAAACCTTTCTGTGGTATTTTTCATTGCTTATCTGATTCAAAGGCTATAGATTTTTATGGATTTATTATTGCTAGGAGTCAACTTTTTTCTCCACTTGTCACTTCCTAATTGGTATGAGAGCCACTTGTCAGCTGGGTTATGGAATTAACTTGTAAGCATATACTTAACTTTTAACCACATAGCTGAGATACAAAGTTAATAATGTTATTCTACTGCTTACAATCTTTAAATCATTATCCATTGATTCTTGGACAAAATAAAAATGTCTTTTATGATTATATGATTACAGTATGATAATTTCTCAAAATGGACTTTTTATTTATCTCCATTTTCCCATTATATATTTTAACCACAACTGTGTCTTTGCAATGTGCAGATTATGCCAAGAGTCCTTTGAATCTTACATTTCAACTCAGGAATTCTCTTGCCTAGAAAGACATTCCTATTCATGAGATTTTATTCTGTGAGTGTCTACTTTGTCTTTGCCTTCTTTTCTACCTTTTACTATCTTCAAGTAGCTGTATAAAGAAGTTTCAATTCACATATCATTTTGGGAGCGGTGACATATTGAGCAATGTCGCCATTTTCTACTTCATACTGGCGGCATCTGGAAAGCTTTTTTTTCCTGTGATGCCTGCAAAATATGAATGGATATTGCTATCATTATAAATCTGTGTTCACTCACTGTGGTTCTCCCAATCATATTATATTACAACCATTTCTTATCTTTTCAACTTGCTAGACTAAAAATTCATTCAGGTGTTACTGGGTTTTATTTTTTTCTTTACAACTTCATCCTCAGAATAGACTAAATATATGATGTGCCTAAAATGTGTGTTGATATTCAGTTAATTCTATTAAAGCTCTTTATTAAAAAAATATTCTCTGAGGCTGGGCACTGGTGGCTCATGCCTCTAATCCTAGCTACTCAATAGGCTGAGATAGGAGGATCCAGTTTGAAGCCAGCCTGGCCAGAAAAATCTGTGAAACTCTTTGATTCATCTCCAATAAACTATGCAGAAAAGGCTGTGAGTAGTGCTGTGGCTCAAGTGGTAGACACTAGCCTTGAGCAGAAAAGCTCAGGGACAGTACCCGGGCCCTGAGTTCAAGTCCGAGACTGACAAAAGTAAAAATAAAAATAAAACTATTCTGAAACAATGTCCAATGATTTTTATTTTTTTATAGTCTTAAAAACAGGTTTTTATACATTTTATGTTTGTGGGAACTATAATAACCTTACCATTGACAGGTTGTCTTATTTCTTAGTTATATCAGCATGAACAGCTGATATATAGCTTTTCAAGGATGAAGAAGAAATGATACATGCAACGATGTGTTCAAAGCCTTCTGTCAGGCTTCAAAGGCACTTAACATGTGTTTTATTCTTCTCAAACTTCTGATGATATGTATAATTTCTGTTGTTATTGGTCTAACATTTCTTTACAAGATTAAATTTCATGAATGGGAGCCATATGTTGGTCTTGCTACTAACTCCTTTGAACTCCTTTCAACCTAGAATTTAAGCACTGAGTAAATGTTTATAAAATGAAATTGAGTTCAATTAATTTTTTTACAGCACTGGTATTTGAACTCAGAACCTTTCATTTTCTTAGACCAGGAATCTTCCACTTACACTATTAACCTAGCATTCTTTTGCCTTGATTTTTGGGTCTTGGTATATTTTCCCTAGGCTAAGCTAGATTCACATTTGTATTTTCTGTGTAACTGTGATGACAACCATACTATACCACCCAGTTTTTTATTCGTTGAGATCAGTCTCAAGAACTTTATGCCTATATTGACATTGAACAACTATCCTCCTAATCTCAGCCTATTTGAGTATCTAGGATTACAGGTGTAAGTTTTCATAGACCATTTTGACATTTATCAATAACGTACATTTAACATTCTAATTTGGCTTATTTTAAAAACTATGCTTTATTATAGTATGTTCTTTTTTTTAAAGTTCGAATTAGATACTTCTAACTTCTCTATTTTATTGGGAATGTTTTTTTTGTTGTTAATTATAACTGTTTCATAGATTTCTTTTTTTTGGGGGGGAGGTCTGGTTGTGGGGCCTGAACTCTGGGCCTGGGCGCTGTCCCTCAGCTCTTCAGCTCAAGGCTAGCGCTCTACCACTTGAGCCACAGCACCCCTTCTGGCTTTTTTATTTTTGCTTATGTGTTGCTGAGGAATCGAACCCAGAGCCTCATGCATGCAAGGCAAGCGCTCTACCACTGAGCCACCTTCCCAGCCCCTCATAGCTTTCTTTTCAAAACAATTTTAAACTATTGTTATTGTTGTTGTTCCAGCCAATGCTGAGGCTGGAACTCAGGACCTGGATTCTGCTTGTGATTTTTGTGCTAAAGGCCAGTGCTCTACCACTTGAACCACAACTGCACGCCTGGTTAATTGGACATAACCATGTCATGGGCTGTCCTACCTGGTCTGGCTTTGAACCATGATCCTCAGATCTCAGCCTCCTGAGTAGCTCGGATTACAGGCGTGAGCACTGACGCTCATACAGGAAGAAAGGTTATTAGTGACAGGAAGACTTTTTGCAAGATTTTATACAGATAAGATAGTATTTAAAGTAGAAGCATTCACAATTTACTATATCTGAAGTTATTTGAAAGGTAACATAAACTGATCAATAATCTCATTATCTGTGTCTAGTGGCAAAGTATGAAATGAATTCTAATGTAATGTTACTTTTAAGCAATCATACCAGTAAATATGATAGAATAAGACACTGACAATCATAACTATTTCAAGGCAGGCACCTAGGGATTATACCTATAATCTTAGTCTCTGGAGAGGCTGAGATTCAGAGTATTGAAGTTCAATACCAACAGGGAAAGAAAAGTTTTCTGGACTCTAATTCCATACTGGTCAGGATAAAATAAAACCAGAGTCTGCTTCAAGGAGATAGACTGCAAGTCCTGAAAACACAAGGCCCCATACTCAAACCCTAGTACTGCCAAAGACAAAAAATAATATTGTGAATATATAGTATCATTTTTAAAAATTGCTTACATTTGCCTAAAATAGTGAGCAATTGATAAATAATATTGATTTTCATTTGTAGATACATATCCTAATATGCCACAAATGTGATGTTTTCCCAAATGAAAAGAGCACATACATTTTAGAAATGATGTAATCAACTGCAGGAAAATACCTTCAGAAATGTCTTAGTTATGAACAGAGACTCAGCACGAGTTGGAAGATGAGATTAAAACAGAAAGAAGATGGCTAAACACTATATGTAACTTCAACAAGAAACTTTTTGATAAAAAAGAAAAAGTATATCAGCATGTCATCTGTGATCTAAGTGAAAAATATCAGACAATTCTATGCTGCAAAACACATATTATTTGTGTATGTTTGTGTAAAACCTGTTTCCTACACATGAGAATGGTTGAACAATTGGAAGTAAACCCTGGAGTTATATAAAAGAGAGTATATAGAAGAATAGTAATGATAAGGTATTTTTTAAGTATATAATTTTAGAGGACATGAACTAGATTTAAATTCTTTAAATGTATTAAATGGTATTACAGATATACACCATACCTAGTCTTTTTAATATGTTTTTATTATAAAAATAATGTACATGGGGATTATAGTTACATG